TGGAAAAGGAACAATACAGCCTACTAATACTGTACTACCCGCAATTAAGTTCACCCTTTTAACAAATATTTTAACAACAACGAAAGTATTAATACTAGTTTTCAAAATATTGCAAACTTGCCACATATATAAATGCCTGTTATCAAATTTCCAGTATACTTACTGTAATAGTAATACACAGTGTACACAGTGCAATATATTTATGAATTCTTTATTCTACAGGACATCAACAACCATGCCCCAGAGTTTAGACCAGACAGTAGATATAGAACTTCAATTGATGAGACTACACCACCAGGTATATTACATTTGCAAGAGCTTTTTTTTTTTTTAATTTAACAGTCATATTATTTTTCTAGAATTTTACTTGTTCAAGCTTTCTGTTGGTTTAGTGTAAAGATTTAGTGATGTTGTAAATTAACAATTTATTGCATTTTTAGTTATTCTAGTCCATAACATTAGTATTATTGATTCTATTCAATAACATTTACTGTTTTTCACTGGATTATTTCTTAATGCACATATGAAACATTTCTAGGAACTGCTGTTCTCCAAGTCCTGGCCATAGATCAAGATGGTGGCCGGAATGCTGAAATAACATTTGAGATGACCGCTGGGCCTTCAGACAAGTTTAATGTTGATCCCAGTAATGGCACCATACTAGTGGCATCAAGGGCAAGATTTGATTATGACAGGACAAAGCAATATAACCTGACAGTGAGTTTACATGGATGACTCTCTACCTTAAAACTGAGTAAATCAACTAAATAAGTAGGCAAGCATAGAACATAAAATGTCTCTCAAACAGAAATTCATATTTGACATGTTACTTCCTTTCTCAAAGTGATTGTTGATCAAATGTGATGTGAAACAAATAGCTCGGGATTGGCAGTATTGTTGTCATTTTTTAATTATATTTATAGCTATATTTGTATTGATACATGTAGAAAAGTGTGCCTGACTTTTGTATTATTTGCAATGCATATCACTTAGTTAGATCTATGCATTTTTTTTCACATGTTTATATTTTTCTTTTGTATTCCAGATCACTGCTTCAGATGATGGCAATCCAAAACAAAGTTCTACCGCTTTTGTAATTATTGACATTTTGGACAAGAACAACAAAAATCCAAGGTTTAGACCACAGTCTAAGGCCATCTCCATATTTGAGAGTAAGTTATGATTATTTTCATTTCACATTTAAACATTTATTTAAACATAAAATGATCAAATGTGGCAAAATTTAGAAATGGCTTCATAATGGCTCACATTATAAATAGAGATATTTTTAATAGAGGGAACAGAGAATTAGGCTTCAGTAAAAATATAGAAAATAAATAAACACCAATGTTTCTTTTGCTTTTTAAGATAAGCCAGTGGGAGAAACAGTGATACAAATGACAGCAGAAGACCCTGATTTGAATGCTAATCTTCAATATTCCTTTGTACAACCAATCACTGCTTCCAATGTCCAAGGACAGGATGTAGATCCCAATGTCTATGACTTTACAGTAAGCTTGAGTTCTTCACAAGTACTTTAGCACAAAATGACCTACCCTTTCAAAAATTCGGACTTTTATTTACACACAAACATGCAGGTTTAACTATATTTTTCTTGTCAGACAGCTAATTTGATTTTCACTGGTTAATTGATCACATATCTGATATTGATACTTACATTAAGTATTATTGCTGATCAGTAAGAATTGCCAGTATCTTGACCATTTTCTACAGCATGAGCTTTATTTCTTTTTGCAGAATTTGTTTAGTATAGATCCTAGGGATGGTGTTGTTCGTGTGGCTAGACCACTGAATCGCGATGAAGTAAAGGACTTTGTGTTTACTGTACAAGCGAGAGATATTTCTGCAAGTACTCCACAGATTGGCCAAGGTAAAACCATGAATTACTTGAACTGAAGATCTGTCAAAACTGCAAATGACATAATCTGTATTATTTTGCTTTATCTTCATTGAAGTTAATATTATGATGTTTATCTATTTAACACATCAGAATTCATATTTTCCCGTTGCTCTTCTTAGAAAAGTGTATTTTAATTATATGAGAATATAGAGAAAAATGTGTTAAAATGAAGATATTTTTTTCTCTTTAACTTAAATACCATCAGCTTTGTACCAAAAATCCTGTTATTGATCTCAGTATAATGTTTCTTTGATTTCAAGGTATTCTAAGGATTGAGCTGTTAGATGTCAATGATAAGCCTCCAGTGTTTGTGGCACCTTGGACCTCAACTAACCCAGTGTACAACATCAACGTCAGGGAAGAGACGGACAGTTATGTGATGACACTGCAGGCTACAGATCCTGATGGACAGATCTCAGAGTATAAACTGGTAGAGGATCCTGACCAACTGTTCGCTGTGGATGCTCTCTCTGGTAAACATGTTTTCTGCTTGACCAGTGTCTTGTAGACTTTATTTGAGTTGAATTTGGTGGTGGATATATAATTTTATAATATAGATTGATTTCTAAAATTGCATTAAATGAGGTTTTTTTTCATAAATACAGATGTGAAATAAACTGAAAGGCACTTTCTAATGTTTTCTATTTTGTTCTCATATTGTAGATGATTATTTGATTTCATATTTTTTTCAGGTGAAGTAACATTGACCACAAGGTTAGACTATGAGAGCATACAACAAACCAGGTTTGCTGTACAGGCTTTTGATAATGGAGAACCGCAGTTGAATAGCACTGCTACAGTCCATGTAAAAGTTGTTAACATTAATGACAACAAACCTATCTTTAATAAGGTAATTGAGCTGCTTTCTGTTACTTGAAAATCTTAGTGTTTCCTTTGTTTGCCTTTTCATACTTACAAAACATCATGCTTTAAATTTACCCTAAAAACACATGTACATTTTAGTATGTGTAAGGATGGTCATTGAAAATGACTTATTTCTTCAAGTCTTATAATTTTATTTTTAGTTTATTTAGAACTATGCCAATCTGGTTACTTGTTGTGCCACAGTTATCATTACTTATCATGAAATTGTTTATTTTTCACTGGTGTATCCTAAATTAGTCGTTCCCCAGATAAACTTCTTTTTTTCTGTGTATATATTTAAAAATTTATTTTAAAGGAAAGCTATGTAGCCAATCTGACTGAGAATTCCCCAGGAGACACTCCAGTTCTGACCTTGTCAGCTGATGATGCTGATCTTGGAGACTTTGGTCAGATCAGATACAGCATCAACGAACCACAAAACAGATTTATTGTAGATCCCGTGTCGGTAAGAGTAGCTTTTAAAATCTTCAAATCAGTACATGTAAAATAGTTAAGATATATGTTAGGTATATGCCTCCCCCCCTCCCAGTCATTTTAATCATATAGATCATAATTTTAATTGCTATGTTCATACACCTCTTCAAAGCATTTGAGACATGAAAATAACGATTGCACAGTTATTTAGTCTGCCTTTAAAGCTTTATTTTTGCCATGGAAAAGTGAATGTTAGCCTCTGATATTATTTGTATAACATTTTAAAATTATTGTACTGCAATGCTTTAAAGTGTAGAAATAAAAGTGGCTGTAAGACTCCACAGATTAATCCTAACATGCTATTTGAATTTTTTTTATTTTCAAGGGGATAGTACGTGTCCGTCGTGGTGCAGTGTTGGATCGTGAAGATAAAGAAAACACACAGAATGGCCTTATTGTTGTTATTGCACAGGCTACAGACAGCCCGGACCCCAGAAATGCTAATGTCAGAAGATCAACCTCTGCACCAGTAAGTACATTAAATAGAGCTAGATTGTTCCTGTTTTATGAAAGAAAAGAAAGGTAGTTGTTTGTTGATTATTTAAAGCAAGATAATGTAAAAAAAATTAATTTGTCTCTTCTCTGCCATTTTTCGTATTTTAACTTTTTATAAGATTGAGTGAGATGTCATTCTCATGTTCTCATTCACATATCTTTTGTTCATAATATAATCTTTGATGGTGACCTTTTATGTTTACAAGAGGAATTTCAAAAATTGCATGTCACACTATACACTGTACTTCAGTTACTTAAGTGATATTGAATCTGCTCCTAGGTGTACATTCAACTGACAGACGTCAATGACAATGATCCCATCTTCACTGAGGACAACTTTGTTACCACCATTATTGAGACAGTTCCAGTCAATGCATTTATCTTTCAAATCTCTGCAAATGATAAGGACTTGGGAGAAAATGCTAGAGTGACTTACAATTTTGGAAATGATGCACCAAATGGTAATTTTTTTTTCATATTGCTGATATAAACATGAACTGAGCTCAGGTTTGCAATTATTAGAGTATTATTGATTTATTTAAATGGATAAGACTTTGGTGCAATTGAATATGATATTCATAGTTGCCTTCAGACAAAAAAACAATGAAAAGTTGCAATGTTACATCATCAAACCTCTCTCACGATTTTTATGTACAGACACAGNGAAGGCAAGCATAGAACATAAAATGTCTCTCAAACAGAAATTCATATTTGACATGTTACTTCTTTTCTCAAAGTGATTGTTGATTAAATGTGACGTGAAACAAATAGCTCAGGATTGGCAGTATTGTTTTCATTTTTTAATTATATTTATAGCTATATTTGTATTGATACATGTAGAAATGCACAAGTGTGCCCGACTTTTGTATTATTTGCAATGCATATCACTTAGTTAGATCTATGCATTTTTTTCACGTGTTTATATTTTTCTTTTGTATTCCAGATCACTGCTTCAGATGATGGCAATCCAAAACAAAGTTCTACCGCTTTTGTAATTATTGACATTTTGGACAAGAACAACAAAAATCCAAGGTTCAGACCACAGTCTAAGGCCATCTCCATATTTGAGAGTAAGTTATGATTATTTTCATTTCACATTTAAACATTTATTTAAACATAAAATGATCAAATGTGGCAAAATTTAGAGATGGCTTCATAATGGCTCACATTATAAATAGAGATATTTTTAATAGAGGGAACAGAGAATTAGGCTTCAGTGAAAATATAGAAAATAAATAAACACCAATGTTTCTTTTGCTTTTTAAGATAAGCCAGTGGGAGAAACAGTGATACAAATGACAGCAGAAGACCCTGATTTGAATGCTAATCTTCAATATTCCTTTGTACAACCAATCACTGCTTCCAATGTCCAAGGACAGGATGTAGATCCCAATGTCTATGACTTTACAGTAAGCTTGAATTCTTCACAAGTATTATAGCATAGACAGACCTACTCTCTCACAAATTTAGACATTTATTCACACACAAACATGCAGGTTTAACTATATTTTTCTTGTCAGACAGCTAATTTGATTTTCGCTGGTTAATTTATCACATATCTGATATTGATACTTACATTAAGTACTATAGCTGATCAGTAACAGTATCTTGACCATTTTCTACAACATGAGCTTTATTTCTTTTTGCAGAATTTGTTTAGTATAGATCCTAGAGATGGTGTTGTTCGTGTGGCTAGACCACTGAATCGCGATGAAGTAAAGGACTTTGTGTTTACTGTACAAGCAAGAGATATTTCTGCAAGTACTCCACAGATTGGCCAAGGTAAAACCATGCATTACTTGAACTGAAGATCTGTCAAAACTGCAAAAGACATAATCTGTATTATTTTGCTTTATCTTCATTGAAGTTAATATTATGATGTTTATCTATTTAACACATCAGAATTTATATTTTCCCGTTGCTTTTCTTAGAAAAGTATATTTTAATTATATGAGAATATAGAGAAAAACATGTATCAAAATGAAGATATTTTTTCTCTTTAACATAAATACCATCAGCTTTGTACCAAAAATCCTGTTATCAATCTCAATATTATTTCTTTGATTTCAAGGTATTCTAAGGATTGAGCTGTTAGATGTCAATGATAAACCTCCAGTGTTTGTGGCACCTTGGACCTCAACTAACCCAGTGTACAACATCAACGTCAGAGAAGAGACAGACAGTTATGTGATGACACTGCAGGCTACAGATCCTGATGGACAGATCTCAGAGTATAAACTGGTAGAGGATCCTGACCAACTGTTCGCTGTGGATGCTCTCTCTGGTAAACATGTTTTCTGCTTGACCAGTGTCTTGTGGACTGAATTTGAGTTGAATTTGGTGGTGGATATTATATCATTTTATGATAGAGTTTGATTTCTAAAATTACATTACATGAGGTTTTTTTCATTTACAGATGTGAAATAAACTGAAAGGCACTTTCTAATGTTTACTATTTTGTTATCATATTGTAGATGATTATTTGATTTCATATTTTTTCAGGTGAAGTAACATTGACCACAAGGTTAGACTATGAGAGCATACAACAAACCAGGTTTGCAGTACAGGCTTTTGATAATGGAGAACCGCAGTTGAATAGCGCTGCTACAGTCCATGTAAAAGTTGTCAACATTAATGACAACAAACCTATCTTTAATAAGGTAATTGAGCTGCTTACTGTTACTTCAAAATCTTAGTGTTTCCTTTGTTTGCCTTTTCAAACTTACAAAAAATCATGCATTTAATTTACCCTTAAAACACGTACATTTCAGTATGTGGAAGGATGGTCACTGAAAATGTCTTATTTGTTCAAGTCTTATAATTTTATTTTTAGTTTATTTAGAACTATGCTAATCTGGTTACTTGTTGTGCCACAGTTATCATATCATGAAAATGTTAATTTTTTGCTGGTGTATCCTAAATTAGTTATTCCCCAGATAAACTTCTTTTTTTTTCTATGTATATATTAAAAATTTTATTTAAAAGGAAAGCTATGTAGCCAATCTGACTGAGAATTCCCCGGGAGACACTCCAGTTCTGACCTTGTCAGCTGATGATGCTGATCTTGGAGACTTTGGTCAGATCAGATACAGCATCAATGAACCTCAAAACAGATTTATTGTAGATCCTGTATCGGTAAGAGTAGCTTTTAAAATCTTCAAATCAATACATACATATGAAATAGTTAAGTTATTTATTAGGTATATGCCCCCCAGCTATTTTAATCATATAGATCATAATTTTTAATTGTCATGTTCATACACCTCTTTAAAGAATTTGAGACATGAAAATAATAATTGCACAGTAATTTAGTCTGCCTTTAAAGCTTTCTTTTTGGCATGGAAAAGTGAATGTTAGCCTCTGATATTATTTGTTTGTTTGTTATTTACATAACATTTTAAAATTATTGTACTGCAATGCTTTAAAGTGTAGAAATAAAAGTGGTTGTAAGAATCCACAGGTTAATCCTAACATGTTATTGGAATTTTTTTTTCAATTTTCAAGGGGATAGTACGTGTCCGTCGTGGTGCAGTGTTGGATCGTGAGGATAAAGAAAACACACAGAATGGTCTTATTGTTGTTATTGCACAGGCTACAGACAGCCCGGACCCCAGAAATGCTAATGTCAGAAGATCAACCTCTGCACCGGTAAGTACATTAAATGGAACTAGATTTTACCTGTTTTATGAAAGAAAAGAAAGGTAGTTGTTTGTTGGTTATGTAAAGCAAGATAATGTAAAAAAATTAATTTGTCTCTCTCCTCTGCCATTTGTCATACATTAACTTTTTATAAGATTGAGTGAGATGTCATTCTCATATTCTCATTCTCTTATCTTTTGTTCAAAATATAATCTTTGATGGTGAACTTTTATGTTTACAAGAGGAATTTCAAAAATTGCATGTCACATTATACTTCAATTGTGATATTGAATTTGCCCCTAGGTGTACATTCAACTGACAGATGTCAATGACAATGATCCCATCTTCACCGAGGACAACTTTGTTACCACCATCATTGAGACGGTTCCGGTCAATGCATTTATCTTTCAAATCTCTGCAAATGATAAAGACTTGGGAGAAAATGCTAGAGTGACTTACAATTTTGGAAATGATGCACCAAATGGTAATTTTATTTCATGTCCCTGATATAAACGTACTGAGCTCAAGTTTGCAATTATTTGCATTATTGATTTGTTTAAATGGATAAGACTTTGGTGCAATTGACAAATGATATTCGTAGTTGCCTTGAGACAAACAACAATGAAAAGTTGCAATGTTGCATCATGCTTTTTATTCTTACAACAGCTTATTATTTTGTCATATCTTTTTCATTTTGTCTCAGAACTGTTCGCATTGAATGAGACAACAGGAAGCCTTTCCACCAACAAGTCATTAGTGGGTCACTCAGGAACATACAGATTTACTGTAGAAGCTACAGATCATGGCGTACCTGAGAGACGTGTCTCCCTAACAAGAGTGGTGATAACGGTATTAGCTACCAATCAGCGAGCTCCCCGTTGGATCTGGCCAGCGGGTAATAATCAGACTATTGAGGTGCTTGAGGTATGTGAAAAGGATGAAGGACTTTTTTATTGTAAACTGTTCATAAGTTCATAGATATAAGTGATTCATACAAATAGTTAGCCAATTGATTTTTAGCCTTGCGTGAAAAAAAAAAATAGATGCATTAGATAAAATGACCATCTTTCACCAATTATAAATCATTTGAAAGTCAGTGGAAAAAGACGACTGCTTTGATATCCTGTTAGCCATTTTGGATATCAATAAGTGCCCCATTTTGATAAATGTTTATTTAGAAATTTCCTAATCTTTTATGGTTATTTTCTAGTAATGGTATAGTGTGATGTATTTAAAATACAGGTATAAAATTTGAGCAAAAATGTTCATTAGCTTGGTAGTTGGATCATGTATGATAATTATCAAACACAAGCCAAAATAGAGTTATAAAAGTTGTTGTGGCAGTGATATTAGTAATATCCTCTTCACTTTATTTTCTTTTTTTCCAGAACCAGTATGTAGGCTTGGTGGTCACTGACAAGCCATATGCTGTGGATGATGATGATGGCCCCAGTGGGAAAATCACATATGGTTTCTATGACAATAGATTTGTAAAGGAAACTCCAGAATTCACTATTAACCCTATCACTGGTGTCATTTCAGCCAAGGTGATATTTGATAGGGAGGAAAAAGATACATACACAGTAGGTGTTTTAAAGAAATTTTTATGCTCTTGGTAATTTAGTAGGACAGATATGTGTAATATATATTCATGAAAAATAATTCATAAAACTTATTCAGTAGGCATATGTTTTTTTTCACATGCTATCAATTACAGGCCAATTAAGAAACTTAATGTCTTGTTAAAGTTGCAAAAAATTATTTTTAAAACAGTCTAGTTCAAAGATATTGTGATGGTTTTAGGTAATGAATGTGTCTTATATTACTATATGATTGTCTTTTCAGCTGCTGTTAGTTGCCCGTGACAATGGTCAGCCTCCACTGCAGTCCAACAGGTACTTGACTGTGAAAGTGCTAGATGTCAATGATAACCCACCATCATTCCCAACATTCCAAGTAAGTGTTGAGAGAAAATGAAATGATTGGTGTCGCTAGTATTCATACACATATTTAGAAGTTCTCAGTTGTTAGTTTAAAAGAATAAGTTGTCTGCCAACTTTAGATTTTATACTAACATACTAAGGCCTATCAGGGCAGCTTTAACTGCCAGCTGACAACTTTTTATGCCTTAAGGGCTATGACATCTTTAGTATGCCAAGTTCAAATATTTCAGTTTGGCGGGTATATTTCCTTAATCAAAACATTTAAGACCACTTTGAGGTGTAAATAATTATTTTTTCTAACATAAATGGAGATAAAAAATAAATCATCTTCATATGTAAGTGAAAGTGATTTTGGATAACCATTTTGTTAGATTTTAATGAGTGAACTTTTTAAAAAACAATTATATGATGAGAAATAGTGTTATGTGTGAATATAAATGTAGTGATTTAACTTTTTTTTTTACCAGAATGGGAGTACAATACCAGTGACATTCTTTGTGCCTGAAGGAGTGAAGGATTACTTTGTTGGTCAAGTCAATGCTACAGATAAGGATACAGGAAGATATGCAGACATTTATTACTACATTGATGGTAGGTTACCTTTCTATTCTTCAAGCAAAAACATTTTTAGCCACTGTATTTATTCTGTGACATCATATTTTTTTCTGCTAAGAGAATTTTAAATTACCCATTTATGGGGTTTGTATTATTCTTGCTTTTTTAGATTTAACAGTTTAAAATATGTATTACAACAGATAAAGAGAAATGTTTAGTTGGAGCAAATGAACAGAGAAAAATGTATGTTGTATGTGGTGGGACTCACTTCAGCTTCAGATAAGTCACTTCTGCTGAATATTGTAAGTCTACTGATTTATTTTGATCACTCTCCAGGTGGCAATTTCAACAACTCTTTCAAGATAGATAATAGAACAGGAAGAATCGTCACTAATAAGGCGTTAGACAGAGAAACCATCAGCAAGTTTGTCCTAACAGTCAGAGTGACAAATAATCTCAATGATGATAATGTCATTAATGTTAATGAAGAGCCTTACCCTAACCCAACATATGTCATGGTCACCATTATTGTTACTGATACTAATGACAATGGACCAATATTTACACTTAATGAGTATTATGCCTGTAAGTATGATGTTTTATTTTTCTCTGTAAGTTTTATGTTAACATTATTTATATCTTGTTTTATTGTCATCAACATCTATATTATCATCACTGTTATTGCTGTCTGAAATGATTTTTTGGCAATTAGTACAACTCGATTAAAACAATGTTTTCCTGGTTAAACTAATTTGTTGTGGTTAAATATTTAATTTTTGAAGATGATTTCATAAACCATTGAGATACTGATCACACTTCTGTTCTCCTGCTTCATAATTTTTATAATTTTAAATCAAAATCTTTAATATTTTTATTGAGAAATTTCTTGTTATTTATGTATATATTTATATATTTTTATTTATTTATTTATTTATTTTTTGCAGTTGTCCCATTAAGGGCACCATTCTGGTACTTGGTCACAGATGAAATATCCGCAACGGACAAAGATGGTGGCTCTAATGGCAATGTCACCTTCCGTATCGATCAGACTATCGTGTCAAAGGAAAATACTAATATAATATACACAGTTGATAATGCAATGACCATTGGTTTGTTGAATGCTACTGTGTATACCATATCTCTTATGGATAATTACAAAGATGTTAGATTTGATATGGTAATTGATGCATCAGACTCTGGAGAAATACCAAGGTCTATGAAGTCTAATCTAAAGGTTGGAAACATTTGCTCTCTTTTTTGTATATTTTTTGTCTATTATATTTTATTTGGTGTAATATGACATTTTTAATATTAAACTATATTACTAATGCAACTAAAATATAAAAAGCATATATGTTTTAATTTCTAAGTCATGAGGATTTACAAAATTTGCCAAGGATTTATCTTTTATTAAAATTAATAATTTCATAAATGCATGTTTAATAAGAACTGATGCACAAATGGAAGATTAGTAATTAATATTCATATTTACAAAAATATTTCCAACTTTTATTTAGGTCTGGGTGGCAGATGAAACAAATGAGATTGTCCTGCTCATAAAACAACCACCATATTGGGTTCGAAGATACAAGGAAAAAATCATACAGTATGCACACCACTTTTATACTATTTTTGCTTTAATTTTAATAAACTACATTATTTTGCAATATCTTTAACTTTTCTGTTAAAAGGGATCATTGGTGTCTACTGCATTTTATTAATATGAGCAATGCTTTTTTTCAGACTGATAACTTCAATTGTGGGAGCAAAGACAGTATTCATTGATGAATCTGAAATCAGATTCCACCAAGTTGGTGATTATGTCAATGAAAAATGGTAAGTATTTTTTAAGAACATCATCATAGAGACCAAATGGCATAATTGCTCAGTGCTATATTTGGTTGCAGTCCATTATATTAGTCCTGATTTTTCACATTCATTGGTTACACAGCAAAATTGCAATTAGTATGTTAATTTTGATTTTGACATAATTTTGCTGATTGTTCTAATTTCCTACTTCAGGACCGATGTTGTCATCTATGTGGTTGACAACAAGACCAATTTTCTGATGGATGGGAAAGCTGTCGCAGCTACACTTAAAGGGAAGCTGACAGGAGATGAAAAAGGAGCGTTTGCTTTATTGCATGTGGCAGATGCACAGGTACGTAAAGAACACCTTATCACAAGGCCTTTTCTGCTAATTTTGAGTTGTCACTGGTGTAACTTATTGACAGCCTGTGCTTAACATTTTATCAGTAACTTTACATTTAAACTTACATTTCTTTTTCAGTAGAATTGGAAATGTTATGATATGACTATTGTTTCTTTCAGCCTGGTGTAGCCGCAGCCTCGACTGGTGGAGGGGTAGATTGGGGAGCCCTTGCTGGAGCCATTGCAGCTCTTCTGGCATTGTTATTACTGTTACTGTTGTTGTTATGTTGTTGCTTACCTTGCTGTGCTAAGTGCTGTGGAGGGTAAGTAACGTGCCACATTAATGAAGTTGTTTGTCCAAGGTTGTTATGTAGTATTCACCCTCTTGATTGAGTATTGCTTTGAATATCTTATACAATGTTGATAGTATCTCAAGTCTGTCATATTAACTGTAAATGAGTCAATCTGTCAGAGTTGAGCTTGCCCTTGTTTAAATATTGATAGATATAAAAGAGTAGTATTAACAAGATCTACTTGTATCTATTAAAGGTGCTGTGCCCCTGTTGGTGCAGGTGCTGGAAAAGAAAAGTTAGGTGAGTAGACTTGTGTTGCTGGAGCTTTTCTTCCCTCTGAATAGAAAATTGACATTTTTATCAAAGGAATTTAGACAATATGATATACCTGGCCAATAGCCGGAAAACCTCATGGGACTCAGGGAGTCTAAAAAAATTGGACATTTTACCCCCATTAGTTGACCCAACTTGAGAAATTGCATCATTTTGATCCGGACCAGGTCTTTGTGACCAAAAGGGTGGGGTTTTTTTGCATCCCGAACCCCTTGCCACTGGGTCTGTATTCAGTAATGCAGTATGACTAGGACACTTTGAGACGACTGCAAGATTTGTGTGCAAAGATTCAAGCAAGGCTATGTTCAAAGTAATTCCAGATGATGCCAAAGACAATTATACCTATTTCAAGGGATTTGTTTGAGATAATTAACCAACAAGGGGACAAGTTCTGCAGAATCTACTGAGTGTTAAATAAAGGGAAATATTTTGAATATGTTTGATAATTTTTGGATTTGATTCCAAACCAACAATAGGACTAAAAGCAACTAAAGAGACAATAAGGGTAATTAAAAGTAGCTTTTTAAGAAAGTTTATTTTAATAAACTTAAATAAACTTGATAGAAAAAAAGCATTTATTTGGATTTGCTTCTTTTCTCAGCTGCAGTAAGTGCAGGAGCAGGGACTGGTGCAGGGTAAGTATTTTAAAGAATAAAGTAAACAACTTTTTTAAAACAAATAATATATTCTTAGAAGATTCCCAGTTACTTATTAAATGTAAACTTGAATTTGTGTGATGTGACAGTGAGAAATATACTTAAGGTTTTATAATATGACACAAATGATGAAATATTTATGAATCTTTTCCTTTGTTCTAGATATGGATATGGAGCAGGCAGTGCATATGTAAGTATTTTTCAATCACTGTCTCTAGTGTTAGATATGTACGGTAACCATGATGTTCTTTTCTCAGCTGCAGTAACCATGATATTCTGTGCTCTTTTTCATCCTTTTGGAGAAATGTTATCTGATATTTTATTATTTGTCAATTACCTCCTATTAATTAATGAGAAAAATGCTTGATTTTCTAGGGATATGATTCCTTCAACAACCAAGCCTTTGAATTTGATGAGCTACATAGCACAGGGGGAGTGGTAGCAGTAGCTGGTGGTGGAGCAGGTGGTTACTCTCATGAAGAAAGGATCGAGCGAGAGCAATTTGAGTTTGCCAGCATGGAGAGAAGTGGTGTCGAGCAGGCGGTGGAGGCAGCAGATGAGGTGGATGCAAACTACACCATTGTGGCTGGTTTGGCTGGAGGAGAGCAGGGAGCAGCTGCAGCACAAGGGACAGATGAGTACACCATTGTTGCTGGCTTGGCAGGTGGAGAGCATGGAGGGCAGGCCCAGATTGCAGAGTCTGCCTTTGTTGGTACCATTCATGCCACTACTGCTGGTGGAACCTCCACTATGAGATCAGGTGGAAGCAGCAATGGCGGCGTCACAATCCGCACTGGACAGTCTTCCATGAACCATGTTGATTCTGGTCCTGCCGCTTCAGTGTATTCAGAATCCATATACAGCAGCAGGGATGGCTCAGCTTATGGTGTCCCAGTTGGTACAGCAGGATTTACTATTCAGACAACTGAAACTAGAATGGCTGCTCCACCACCAGTTGCTGGTTTCACCATCCAGACGACAGAAACAGCAAGAGCTGCACCTCCACCAACTGCAGGTTTTACCATCCAGACAACAGAAACCCAGAGGGCAGCACCTCCTCCACAAACTGCTGGTTTTACCATCCAGACAACAGAAACCCAGAGGGCAGCACCTCCTCCTCAAACTGCTGGCTTTACTATTCAGACCACAGAAAAGGTGACCTCCTCTCAACCCCCACCGCCACCACCTCAGCCCACTGGTCAGTCATGGCATTCAGGAAGTTTGACCTTCCGGCCAGAAGTTGGTTCACCAGTGCCCCAACATGGCATGACCGTTCACACTGAAGAAGTGGTACAGCAGCATGCCCCTCCAATGGTTCAAAGCCCCAATGGAACCCTGCACTCTGGAAGCCTTACCTTCCGTGCTGATGACTTGCCATCTCAGAGATCTGCTGGTGGAACAATGCATACAGGTAGTGTGACCATACGCCCGGAAGATTTACCTGATGCCCATCTGGCTGGCGTCCATGCTCCACTGACTGGGGTCCATACTATGACCACCTATGGAAGATCTGCTGTCCATCCTGATGATCATGTTCGCACTGGAACCATGGTGTCAGGTGGCAGCAACACAGTGCGTACAGGGACAATGCAGAGCAATGGTAGAGCCAATAGCTTTACACATTCTGGTTCTGGAGGTCCATACACAAGTGTAGAGAATGGATTTACTGTGGTTCATCCACAGTAAATGAGAAATATATGTATTAACTATTATTATTATTATTATTATTATTCCACATTTTATCTATTATGCAGTATTTAGACAATACTTGGGAAAAAATTCTTATTCTTCATTGTAAAATGTTTTTGTGCCATACTTATTTATTTTAGTTTTTTCACTCTTTAATGCTTGTCCTTAAGTCTGCCAGTAATAAAGGTTTGCTTAAAGAAATTCTAGTATTGTACTTTTTGTGCTTTAAAGCCAATTTATATGCCACATTTTGAATACCCTTAATTAAATTTGCCTTTATTAAACAGAGTACATATGTTCATTACTCTTACTAGAGCTTTGGTAAAAACTTTGCTTTACATATTTTATATTTATTTGCACAATGTTTTCCTATCGTATTTTTGCAACAGTGAACAGTGAATACTTATACAGCACTTTACTTTTAATTGTATTTTTCAGAACATTTAACATGTATGACATATTGCAATTACATAATGTTACATATCACATACTTTGGTGCTATATAATTAACCATTGTCTTTGGTTTAATTCATATTATCATGTTATATTTCATAGTCATTGTGGGTAATACTTGAACTTTAATTGTTATTTTAATCCCTATTTTGTTTACACTTTAACATTTTTTTAATGGAAAGGTTGCAATGTAATGTAATGAGAATGTTTTCACTATTAATTTCATTTGTTTAAATCATGCTATTGTTTGAAAAGGGAAACATTAAATGCAGTAGCACCTTACTTATGTACCATAACTTGAACAAGATAGAGTTGATGATGATGATATAACATAAAATTTTTGATGTAATTGTGTAAAATTGTTAAACTTTGGTCTAGGCTTTAATATGTTTAGGCATGTCAAGGATTTGTTTCAATCATGCGTTTTTCATTAGATGAATATAACCTGGCTGAAGTTGTAAATCATAACTGTTTGAATCCAAAAGTGTTTGACCATTGAAAACTTTTGATAAAGCACTGTAGCAAGTGTTGGTCAATGAGCAACATTTGTTGAGGAAAGAAGAAATAAAGATTAACTTTTGAAAAAAAAAAGTGAAAGATTAGAATGATTCTTTTTCGGATATTTTCTAGCAAGGGAGTCATGTCTTTACATCCCTTAATCGTTTCTCCCTCTTGTTTAAATTATGATATAACCTGCATCAATATGGTCTCATATCATTACTCCCCTTTCATTTATTTTTGAATGACCATTTTAATTTTTGACCAATGGGAAGTAAAAAAGGGCTAGTAATGTGCAGGGGAGTTACAGTAATTCTGCAAGCACCTTAAATGGCATCCTTTTCACTTGTATTGAACCAGTTTCTACTTTTTTGACTGAAAATAATATTGAGGGGTGTACTGGTGTGTACCATACATTAGGATTTGTAGATTACTTTTGATATTTTGACACTATTGGCAGACCTGTCAAAATTACTAATCTTGGTGGGAGTTACTCCAATTTGGGACATATCTCCCAATTTGAACTACAAATCTCTGGATCTATCAGTCTTTTCTCTCTTTCTTTTTACATATTAGATGTGCAGTGACTTCATTCAAGGAAACGTGATGTCACATATATAATTGCTTTCCTAGTTTCAATGATGGAGGGTAGTGTTTGCAGAAAACAACTAAAGCACTCCGAGAGCGCAGACCTCCGCCAAGGCAGCAAAGTCTCCACCCAATGCCGTTTCACCCCTAAATTTTCATTCTATAATGATTTAGTTTTTTTTATTATTGATTATTGATTGATTATTGGTCCGGATCACCGCCAAAAACTAATCATCTGTTCCTTGGTCCACTTCTGACAGTTGCTGAAAATTTCATCAGAATCGGTCCATAACTTTTTCTGTTATGTTGCTAACAGACAGAGAGACAGACAAACTAATGGAACCAAAAACATAACGTCCTTGGCGAAGGTAATAATGAGGAAATGCTAAAGACAACAAAAGGCGGGTCTCAGTCTTCCTCAGTTAGTGTTTAAATGGACACCACCTGACCCATCTGAGAAAGCAGACCTTCCAAACTTCCTGGCTACATGCCTTGTTATCCAAAATATTTAGATATTTTTCGTCTTTTGCCAAGTTTTGGTACATGTAGCTGCATGAACATAAAAACAATAGATTCGCATCGCATTGCATTGTTGGTTCTTTACCTGAAATGGCTCTGCGAAACTGGAACCCTGTGTCCAGTAAAAGGCGTGAAAAGAAGTTCTACCATATGTCTAAAATGTTCAAAGATGAAATATAGTGTATTTGAAAGTTTCAAGATGAGTCTGAAGTTTGGCTTTAGCAGCTAAATAGGCCTATAGTAATTGTATTTAAAACAATATTGCTAAGTTTGTTAGTTGTAGGTTGTATCACTGCTTATGGAGAAAAGGGTGGAATTACGAAAAACATAGTTCTGGATAATTAAAAAAAAAAGTTCATTACAAGAAAAAAAAGGAACAGCATTTTATGTACATGTGTTGGTGTGCTTTGTGTGTCTCAGGGCGGGGGACGTAGGACGTGCATGGAAATCTCCCTCTCTGGCAATTGTCAATGTTCACAAGTATGTTAACTATTAGTATTAATATTCCTCTAATTATCCAAGTAACTTTGTCCAAGGAGTTATATTATAACTCCTTGCTTTGTCAAGACTTGACACTAATTATAAGTGTTTGCTGATGATGAGGGCTCGTCTTGTTTAGTACATAATTAGACAAATCGGTGGTAAGTATTATTCTTTTCATTCCCTTAGTGCTACCCAAACAAACCGTGGCTATGCCACCGCAATCAAAGAATGGAGTGTCTGGTGAAGATGTTTGTTTTGTAGCCGTGCCAATTTGATGAGGCAAAAGGCTTCTGTTATTTAATACTTAGCGTTCAATTAAGGCGACGATTGATCTGATGTATTGGCAGTAGTGATTTCAGTTGGCTAGTAATCCTATTTAGTACTAGTCACTCACGTCGTATATAAACTAGCTGCGAAGGAAAATTAAATTAAATTGAGCTAAATATAGGTAAGTAAAATCATACAGTAACCAAACTTAAAGGGGCTATATTTAAAAAAGAATGAATAAATAAATAAATTTAATTTGTTCCGCAATGCAGAAAATTTCGACCCGAAAACTTTTATTTCATGCGTGATATATGAATAATCGGTTGAAAAACATTGTTTAAAAGTTGTATAGTTACACACGCTAAATGTATCACGTTGTAAGTTATGTTTCATATTATGTTTTAACAGTTTTTTTTTTTTCAAATAGATAAAAGGAAATAATCAATTGATAACATATGGCCTTATAATCAGATGTGGTCGAACGTTTATAATATACTGTATAAAACAAAATTATATTCACAGATCTACATTTTTTCAGACATCTTTAAGCTCCCAGTGGTGAAGTTTAGACCAAGTGCAATATGGCTGGACAAGAACTTCCTCTCGTTACGCAAGTTGCAGAGTTTCAAGACATGGGGGAAATTAACAATGGCTTTGATGACACAGACTTTCACAGACCAGCAGATTCCAATCTGCAGGCAGAACATAGGGATACGGCTAATATACAAGGAGACTACTTTGGAGCCACAGAACATGGTAACTCTGCTGTTGTACCTGTAAGTGACCCAAATTCAAGAAGTTTCGCTACTTATTTTGATGCCCCTGATGGTCATGTGAATGTAGAGGATAGCTCTGATGCCCCAG